TCTTCTTCTCCCAAATCACATTATACCCTCTTCAAAGCCCCTTGACTACCAGACAAGAACTTAGGGTATGTTTGGTTAAAAAAGGAAGGGAGGGGAGAAATTCTAAGGAGAGAGAAGGGAAGGGGATGTGTAAAATAATTTTATTTTGTTTAGAAGAATTTTGTTGGAATGGAGTTTAGGAAAAACTAGTGTATACCCATGCGATACACGTGAACAATATTAAATTAACAATATTATAAATAGACCTCTAGTTTGAGTCACTCAATGGCGGAAGTTAAAACTATTATTGATCCTATCTAAAAAGAAAAAAAAAATAATTATAAATTAAAGAGGAGGGTAAATAATACTTAATAATTATAAATTAAAGATTCAGGATTAAACAATGTAAAACTATTTTGTATAAGAGAATATAAAATTTACATTATTTTGTATAAGAGAATATAAAATTTGTATGTTTAATATTAAAAGCACCTAAAATATTATATTAGTATATCTAAAAGTATTCAAAATTTTCTATATTATTTTTGAAAGATGTGAAGTCACCTACATTTTCTAAACAATTTTAGAAGGAAAACATATCTAAAAATATTTGAATTTAACATTGTGTAAAAAAGATTTTTTTTTGACTATTTTGTAAAGAATACATGTCTACAAATATTTAAATTTAACATCAATTATGTATATGTGTATATTTATATATATATATATATATATATGTATAAAAAAAATGTCTAAACAATTTTTCAACATATCTAAAATATTATAAGCATAATTTAAGAAAGACATTATGTCAGATGATACCGAATTTATGGCGTTACTTCCATCTAAAAAATTTGATTACACACCATTATTATTATACTTTTTACGTTGTTATCGAGGATGTATTGTTAGCTTATAATATTTGTAAGAATATTAGCAATTAGACCGATGAAAAATTATCTTTTTATAATAGATAATGAATTTCTAGTAGTAATTATGAATTGGTTTTTATTTTATTTTAAGATGAGAATTTTTAAATTCGTGAGATCGTATGTAATGGGATTTTGTAACAGATAAGAGATAAACTCTAGATTTATGCTATGAGATTTTATAACGCGATTTTCAATACCAAAAAACAGGAAAAAAGAAAACAAATTCTAACATAATTAATCTGCCGATTTTGTTGCCTTATCAATATTGTCCAATAATTACTATATATAGGATACATTTAATGTATTTGACGGGAAAACATTTCTAAAATTGTAAAAAGGTTATTCTTTTTATATAATGATAGATTGTAAACCTTGTTTGATAAGAAAATGAAGGGGAAGAAAAATAATGTTAGAATAACAAATATATCCTTCATAATGTTATAAATAAAAATTAAAATATGATATATAATAAACGCAAAATAATAAATGTACAACTCAAAATTTTTCATCCCCTCCAAATTTCCCCATGTTTGTAAGGGAGCAAAAATGAGAAGTGGAGGGAATTTTAACTTAAAATTTTCCCTCTCCTTCTATCTTGCGCTATGTTTGGTTCAACTGAGGAGAGGGGAGGAGAGAGATTTTAATAGAAGGAAGGGGAAGAGAGGGGAGGTGATATAAAATAACTTTACCTTGTTTGGAGAGATTTTGTAAGAGGGGAGTGAAGGAAAAATGGTAAACCTTGTTTGGTTAGAATAATGAAAGGAAAAGAAAATATTGTAAAAATGATAATTTTATCCTTAATGATGTAAGAAACAAAATAATAAAATAATTCACATATGAAGGATAATATAGTAATTTTATGTGTTAGAATTTTTTCTCCGCTCCAAATTCTCCCACTTTTGGAGGGGAGCAAAATTAGGGGAGGAGAGAGATTTTGGATTAAAATTTACCCTCCCTTCCCCTCCTAAGTTACAAACCAAACAAAAGAAAAATAAAAAAATTCCTCCCCTCCCCTCCAAATTCCTTTAACCAAACACTACCTTAATCTACCAGCCAAACAAGAGAAGGGTGTAACTATTCACCGCCCCCCTTGGACAATTTTGCCCTTCTCATTTTTTCTAAACATATCAGACAATTTATGAAAAAATACGTGTCCGGCCGCCGGTTCTGGACAGCTTAAAGCCCGTCCGGAACCGGCGTCCGGACGGTTCAAAGACCGTCCGGAAAGCATGGCCGGACGGACCGCGGCCGTCCGGAACCGCCGGCCGGACGGACCGCGGCCGTCCGGAACCGCCGGCCGGACGGCAATTTTTTTTTT